CCTTCCCTTCCCTTCCCTTCCCTTCCCTTCCCTTCCCTTCCCTTCCCTCTTGGCAGCCCCAGTGGTGCCAGCTCTCCCAGGGGACACATCCCAGCTCTCCCAGGGGACACATCCCAGCCCCCGGGCTGCTCCCAGGGAGCAGGGATGGTGCTGCCAGGGGCACAGAGCACGGAGAGGGAGGTGCAGAGACTTCCCTGGGAGCTCCCTGGGAGCTCTGGGATTGCCAGCAGCTCTGCTGTGAGCAGGAGAAACGCCCTGGAGCTGCTCAAAAATCGGGATGTGGCCTCACCTGCAGAGCCCCACGTCCCTTTCTGCACCCCCACAGAAAGGCCAGGTTGTTATTCTGCCTCCAATACGGGTTTGGAGGGATGGTTGTGCTTCTCCTCAAGAGCTGGGTGGGAAATCTGCCTCTTGGAGGCATCATCCTCCAGGCGGGAGGAGCAGCGCCGCGGGCAGGGTGACACCGGGCTGGAGCTGAAATTCCCGGGGTTGGGAACAGGAGGTGAGGGTGGCGTGGCCGCTCCTCTGCTGGTGGCGCTGATTCTGTGCTGCCTTTCCCCTCCCCAGGCTGGCCCAGTCCCTGCTGGCCCTGTTCGCCTCGTCCCTGGCCATCTCGCTGGTGTTTGCCATCATCCCGCTGTGCCACAACGTGGTGGTGCTGGCCGTGGTCATGGCCGTGGCCGGGCTGGCCATGGGCTGCATCGACACCATCTCCAACATGCAGCTGGTCAAGATCTACCAGAAGGACTCTGCCATCTTCCTGCAGGTGAGAGCGGGGCCCTCATCCCCCCAGGAAGGTTCAGGGTGGATTTTAGGAGGAATTTCTTCCCAGGAAGGGTGGGTGGGCATTGGGATGGTGGAGGCCCCATCCCTGGAGGTGTTTGAGGAAAGCCTGGCTGTGGCACTGCGGGGCCCTCATCCCCCAGGAAGGTTTAGGATGGATTTTAGGAGGAATTTCCTCCCAGGAATGGTGGGTGGGCGTTAGGATGGCATCACCATCCCTGGAGGTGTTTGAGGAAAGCCTGGCTGTGGCACTGCGGGGCCCTCACCCTGCCTGGGCAGGTTTAGGATGGACTTCAGGAGGAATTTCCTCCCAGGAATGGTGGGTGGGCATTGGGATGGTGGAGGCCCCATCCCTGGAGGTGTTTGAGGACAGTGACACTCAGGTCCTGTGACAAGACTGCACTCAGTGACCTCAAAACTCTTTTGGGACTGAATTAATTGTGCGATTCCGAGGAGGAGGAGCTGGCAGCTCTGCCACCCTCCCGCTCCACCGCGTCACCTCTTGCAGGCCCTGCACTTCTTCGTGGGCTTTGGGGCTCTGCTGAGCCCCTTGATCGCCGACCCCTTCCTGTCGGACACCAACTGCATCCTGTCCAACGGCACGGCCAACGCCTCCAGCAACCTCCCGCACATCCGCAAGTCCCTGCTGCCGCACCACCCGGGCAACCTGTCCCACTTCGACCTGCCCATGAAGGGCCTGGTGGTGACACGGGTGTCCTACGCCTTCTGGATCATGGCCCTCATCAACGTAAGCGCTGCAGCCGGGAATATCCCGCCGGGAACATCCCCGCTCCGCGGTTTGGGGGGTTCTGGGAATGGGAGGAGCGCAGGGATGGCTGTGGTGGCTCACGGCACACGTGAAAGGTTTGTTTGGTGCCAAATCCCGATTTCATCAGGGCACTTCACCGCTGGGAGTGATTCTGGGATTTGTCCGAGCTCTCTGGGAGAGGTTGGTGCCTCCAGCACCTCCTGGGCAGGAGCTGGAGCGGCAATCCCCACTTAGATCCAGAATTTTTCCTTCATGCTCAGCTGGCAGCGGAGGGATGGCCACGCAGAGGGGATTTGCAGGGATATTCCCAGGAAAGAAGTGATCCGGGCCTCTCTCCATTTATTATTTTCCCTGGAGGTCACAGCAAGATGTAAAAGTCCTTCCTCTGAGGGGGAGATGAGGGATCTGGTGTTCCTTTTGCCCACCTGAGGGGCTCCTCAGGGTGATCCTGCCCGGCAGGATCCGGGCAGATCCAGAGGATTCCTTCCCTCTGGAATTCAGCTCTCAGAGCCGGAGGATGTGATCATTGCCCTGCTCCTGTCCCTGGCCACCAAAGCAGCCCCAGGTTTGCCACCAGCACTGGGCAAAGGGAGCTGTGGTTCCTTTTTCTGGGCTCTCCCCATTCTACTATTATTATTATTATTATTATTATTATTATTATTATTATTATCCCCCATCCAGGGGTTTTCAGGCCCTCCCAGCTCCCTGTGGGAGGAGCTCAGGCAGGTGCTGGGATGAGTTTCTGGGCAGAGTCACCCAAAAAAGGCCCAGCCTGGGAGGAGAGGCAGCTTTAATTACCTCCAGCTCTGCCTGTGCCACGGGAAATGTGCTTTTAATTACTCCAGAGCCAGCAAACCGATTTAGTTTGGAAGCAGAGTTTAACACCTGCTCTGAACCCGATGATGTGCCTGATTTTGGGAGCTCCAGTGGGAATTTCCAGCCCCGTCTCTGTCCCCAGCAGTGTCCTGAGGGTATTTCTGGGGCAGGCTGTGGGTTTGAGCTGGGTTTCTGCATCAGGACGCGCTCAAGTGCTGCATGCACGGGAGGGTGGGCGGAATACAGAATTCCCAGGCTGTGGAGGAACACCAGGAATGTGGAAAGGAGGCTGGGAGACTGGTTTTGGGATAAGGGTTAAATAACAGAGTGGGGAGTTGGATGTGCTCAGCTCCAGAGCCAAGCTGTGATTGCTTTTCCCAAATCCTTGGGGAGGGAACTGATTTTATTCCGTGTTCAAACCACCCCAGCCCACTGGAGCAGTTCAGCTCCAAACTGCTGACCCTCCTCAAGGTGGGAACAGCCGAGGAAAAATGATGATTTTAAACCTCCAGGGCATGTGGATGAAAAGAGTTAACAACAGAAATGGAAACCAGGAGCAGCAGCTCGGTTATAAAATGGCCAAATCCCACATTTCCATCCCGGTTTTTGTGTGGATTCTGACAAGGCACGAGCTGAAATGATTCATTTCGAGCTCTTGCTTTTGTTTAGAGTGGAAATGTCTCAATCTGACTCTGGCACAAGTGCTCTGTGCAGAGCTGACAGCGGAGCTGTGCCGATGTTTTTGAAGCAAAACGGGTTTGCTTTGGGAAAATGAAGCAGCTCAGCATAATCAAAACAAAGCGCTTGGATCGCTCCCAGCCAAAATCTTTCACTCGGAGAGAAAAATTTTTTGCCTTTTCATCCCGATTTTGGAACAAAACCCCCGTATTTTAAATTTCAGTTCTCCCACAGAACGGAAATTTCATCACCCAGCCCGCTGCAAGGGGCTAGAAATCAGGGGAATGTTCCTTGGAGAGGGATGTGTTTGTCCGGAAGGTGCTTTCCCAGGGGAAGTGTGGGACACTCCATTGTGCTCTAAAGCAGCCTGGGATACAATGGCAGGGAATAATCCCGGATTCCTGGGGGAAACAGACTGAAATAGCAGCGGGAGGGAGGGAAGGAGCTGGAATATCCCCATGCTGAGCTGGGGGATGCAGCAACTTGTTGAGTTTTTGAGGATGGATAAAAGCTGCCAGGAGAGGGGAGGGAGCAGCTCTGGGAATTTGGGAAGTGGAGCTGGAGCGCTGGGTGAAGGGAATTGGGGGTTCCTGGTGGGGGATGATGCTCTGGTTCCCTTTTTTCCCTTGGGGAAAGAAAATCTTCCTGCCAAAATAACCCCCCAAAAAACCCCCAAAAGCAGCAAAAATATCCTGAGAAGGAATTCTGGGAGAAAATGGTTGTAGCACCAAAATCTGGCTGTCCAGGAGGGATGGTCAGGGGTGGGATGGGGGATCCAGCGTGGGGCCACAGCCATGGGTGGGACCTGCTGGAAGTGTCCCAGCCTGGTATGGAGAGCAGGGATAACCCAGAATGGGACTGGGAATTGGGGAATCCCAAACTGGGAACCTGGGATAACCCAGAGTGGGACTGGGAATTGGGGAATCCCAAACTGGGAACCTGGGATAACCCAGAGTGGGACTGGGAATTGGGGAATCCCAAACTGAGAACCTGGGATAACCCAGAGTGGAATTGGGGAATCCCAAACTGGAGCCCAGGGATAACCCAGAATGGGACTGGGAATTGGGGAATCCCAAACTGGAGAGCAGGGATAACCCAGAGTGGGACTGGGAATTGGGGAATCCCAAACTGGGAACCTGGGATAACCCAGAGTGGGACTGGGAATTGGGGAATCCCAAACTGAGAACCTGGGATAACCCAGAGTGGAATTGGGGAATCCCAAACTGGAGCCCAGGGATAACCCAGAATGGGACTGGGAATTGGGGAATCCCAAACTGGAGAGCAGGGATAACCCAGAGTGGGACTGGGAATTGGGGAATCCCAAACTGAGAACCTGGGATAACCCAGAGTGGAATTGGGGAATCCCAAACTGGAGCCCAGGGATAACCCAGAATGGGACTGGGAATTGGGGAATCCCAAACTGGGAACCAGGGATAAGCCACAGTGGCACTGGGAATTGGGGAATCCCAAACTGGAGCCTTGTCCTCGAGGCTGGGAGTGTCCAGGGCAGTTATCTGCACAGCCAGGCCCTCTGGGGGTGGAATATTTTTGCTAAATCTGCAATTCAGAAGAATGAAATCTGCTCCTGACCTCCGGAAGGATCAGAACTATCAAGCAAATGCGTTTTTCTTCCATGGGACCGAACTCACTGTTCCTATTCCCATTGTTCCCAGAACAATGCAGACCTCATAAACGAATTCAGGCACGAGGGGCGGGGTGTGAGGGAGGGGGGGACTTCTCCATACATTTAAATCATGCCACGAGCCAACAAAAGGCAGGAAATTTGGAGCTGGAGCTCACACTTGCTCCCAGACATGTAGAAAACAAGGGAATGAGCTGTCACTTAGGATTTCCTGGCTTTCTCCCCCGGTTGGTTGCAGTGTAAACACCGCTGGGTTGTGCTGGGAGGAGACGGGAGGGCTTCGTTCGCTTCCCTCTGTTTCCTCGCCGGGGAAAGAAAAAGCAATTCCCTGTGGAATTGGAGGCACCACGGAGTCGTGGGTGTGAGCTGGGAGCCGCTCATCCCATGGGATCAGCTGCCCCATGGATCCGGGATGGGGATGTGGGGTGGGACTGCGGGAATTGTGGTGGGATCGTGCTGGAGCATCTCTGGATGCTGTGGCTGGACCCTCTGTGCTCCGCTCAGGCTGTCCCTGTTGGCCTGGGAACCGCGGGCTCCTCTCTCAGGAGGTGCTGAGCAACCCCTGCTAATGGCTGGGGACGGGGCTGGGAGCAGCTCCCTCTTCCTTCCCGCAGAATTCCAGCCCCAGCTCCAACTGCTCCCGCTGGGGTTTCGTTCTTTGGGCTGCAGCAGAAGGTTTGGGGTTTGCAGGGCTGGTGTGGTGCTTTGGGAGGTTTGTCCTGAGGTCTCTGTGCCCATCTCCAGGTGAATGCTGGAACCTAGGACAGGCTGGGGTTGTGCCCCAGCACATCAGGAGATTTTTCTCCCTTTTTTCCCCCCACTCTCTCCCATCCCACCTCAGCATCCCCTTGTCCCATCTCTCCTTGCTCTCGGGATTCCCTTCAGGCACCTGCCCTGCGGATCACAGCGCCTGGAAACGCTGCTGCAGGGGAGCTGGGCTGTGGCTGATGTCCAGGAGCTCACCCAGCTCTCTGTCCCCTCCCCAGCTGCCCGTGCCCATCGCTGTGTTCTTCCTGCTCTACAAGGAGAGGATGGTGCCCTGCTTCAACGGCAGCAGCCACCCGCTGCTGTCCGCTGACGAGCTGGCCCTGGAGACACGGCCTGGGGACAAGGACGAGCTCTCCACCGCTGCCCAGAGACCCCACACAGCTGCAGGTGAGCTGGAGGTGCCTCTCTCATGCATTTTGGGGGGAAAAAGCCAAATTCGAGCGTGTCTGGGGAGGAAACGTCGCCAAGTGTGCACAGGGATCTAATCCAGGAATACCCAAACAATCCATGTGGTGTCCAATGCCCTCAAATTAGATGGAATCTTGAACAGAGATTGGTATCCCAGTTCTAATGAGGTCTCCAGGCCGTGTTTCTCCATTCCATATTTCTCTGAGCCATCCTAAAGCCAACCCTGGGCCCCCCAACCCTTCAGGGACAGGTGGCAGTTGTGCCCCTCCATTCCCTCCTGGTTTTGGGTCACATTTCTTACTGATTTTTCGGTTTAAAAGCGGTCATTGCGCTGCAGACACTGATTTTTATAAGAAAGGAATAAGAAATAATTAATTTCCCCTGCCTCTTTTGAGGGGAAAAGTGAAATCCAGCAATAGTTTGCTCTCCAGCTCATGGCTGCACCCTGGCTTGGGGACAATGGTGACATTGTTCTTTGCCACCCAGGAGAGACGTGTCAGAGTCAATTCTTTGGTTAAACAGTGAATCTCAGAAGTAAATACTGTTTGGGACCGTGGGAGCGTTCCGTGTTATTCCTGGAAAGATGGCTTTGCCCCTGGGCAATAAAAGGGGATTTCAGGAAACTCCTGAAGGTGAGGGGGAGTTGAGGTGTGGGAGGGCTCAGGGGTGTGTGTCCCCCTTCCCCAGGGGTGACTCGTGGGTGCAATACCCGTTATCCGAGGAATGGGAGCTCTCCTGGGCACGGCTCTCCTGTGGGGCGGCTCCAGGGATTCAGGGATTCAGGGATTCAGGGATTCGGGCCAGGGGTGCCATGGTCCAGTTTTTATTGCCACAGCAGGGCCAGAAGTGTGGAGCCATGAAATGGGAAAAGGAGCACGAGCAGCTGCAGTAAGAGAAGTGGCAGGAGAGCCCAGGGTTTTGGGGTGTGAGGAACCAGGATTTTGGTGTGTGGAGATCCAGGATTTTGGGGTGTGGAGAGCCAGGATTTTGGGGTGTACAGAGCCAGGATTTTGGGGTGTGGAGAGCCCAGGGTTTTGGGGTGTGAGGAACCAGGATTTTGGGGTGTGGAGATCCAGGATTTTGGGGTGTGGAGATCCAGGATTTTGGGGTGTACAGAGCCAGGATTTTGGGGTGTGGAGATCCAGGATTTTGGGGTGTGGAGATCCAGGGTTTTGGGGTGTGGAGATCCAGGATTTTGGGGTGTACAGAGCCAGGATTTTGGGGTGTGGAGATCCAGGATTTTGGGGTGTAGAGATCCAGGATTTTGGGGTGTGGAGAGCCAGGATTTTGGGGTGTACAGAGCCAGGATTTTGGGGTGTGGAGAGCCAGGATTTTGGGGTGTGGAGATCCAGGGTTTCGGGCCGTGGAGAGCCCAGGATTTTGGGGTGTGGAGAGCCCAGGATTTTGGGGTGTGGAGAGCCCAGGATTTTGGGGTGTGGAGAGCCCAGGATTTTGGGCTGTGGAGATCCAGGATCCCAGGCTGTGGCCAGATCCCATACCCATTCCCATTTCCTTCTGGAAGCACAGAGGAAGGTGAGGGTGAGGTGGAGCTCCCCAAGCTCAGCAGTGCCGGGCGTTCAGGATCCTGGCTATGGCTTTGTGGACAGGTTTGTGGGTCTGTCCTGCAGCTGTCCCACAATCCAAACCCCACTGAGGGCGGGCAGCCACCCAGCCCCGGGGGGACGTTCTGCTCAAGTTTGCTTTGCATTTTTCTCCACCAGCTCACGAGGATTTGTTCAGCTGCTGCCAAAGCAAAAACTTCCGAGGGGCTTCCTTCACCTATTTCGCCGTGCACATCACCGGGGCCCTGGTTCTCTTCATGACTGACGGGATCGTGGTGAGTTCAGTTGCCCAGATCTCTGGATTTTTTGCCTTCCAAACCCCTGTGACACCACCAGGGGCTGAGGGGTTAATGGTGAGAGGTATGGGGATATCCCAGGCTCTCCATCTCCAAGGATAATCAACCCTGAGCTCTAAAAGCAAAGTTTGGGGAGCGTGGAACTCTGTTTGGGGAGCGTGGAACTCTGTTTGGGGAGTGTGGAACTCTGTTTGTGAGTGGAACTCTGTTTGGGAGTGTGGAACTCTGTTTGGGAGTGTGGAACTCTGTTTGGGGAGTGTGGAACTCTGGGGAATGAGGAGCTCTGTTTGGGGAGTGTGGAACTCTGTGAGTGGAACTCTGGGAGTGTGGAACTCTGTTTGGGAGTGTGGAACTCTGTGAGTGGAACTCTGTTTGGGAGTGTGGAACTCTGTTTGGGGAATGTGGAACTCTGGGGAGTGTGGAACTCTGTTTGGGGAATGTGGAACTCTGGGGAATGTGGAACCCCGAGAATGAGGGAGGATCTCTGGGCTTTTCCCTGGAACGCCTGTGGAGCTTTGCCCTTTTAGGACAGACCAAACCCCACGTCCTGCTGCTGGTGGATCTGCAAACCCTCAGGGGCTGTTCCAGCACGAATAACTGAGGGACAGAGGAGGATGGAGTCCCCACAGGGATGTCACAGGGGGGGTTTTCCTGCAGGGAGAGTACTCGGGCTTCGTGTACAGCTACGCCGTGGAGGAGCCGCTGGCCGTGGTGCACAAGGTGGCCGGGTACCTGCCCAGCCTCTTCTGGGGCTTCATCACCCTGGGCAGGCTCATCTCCATCCCCGTGTCCTACAGGATGAAGCCAGCCACCATGGTCTTCATCAATGTGGTGAGGATGGGGTTAACCCCTTGCATCCCTCTTTCCGTGGGTGGGTTTGGAGCTGCAGCTCCTCTCACACCTTGGGGGGGCTCACACAGGTGGGGTGGACAAGGTGCCCTCCAGATTTAAATCTTCATTTCCTGAGCCTGCTCCTCAGTGAGGGTTGGGAAAGCAACCAGCAAAGTTGGCACTAAAAGAACCACCAGTTTTATTTACCTTGCACCGTGCCTCCTTCATCCATGGGAAATGAATTCCTGGGACAGCCACGGGAAAGGGAAGGCAGGAATCGCTGTAGATTCGCTGCTTAGGCAGGAAAAAAGTTGCTGAGGTTAATAAAACACCTGGAGAAAGGGGCAGGAATCCTTTGGGGACGTGTAAGGAAGATCTGTGTAAGGATGTGCAGAAAACAGGGAGGGGGTGATCCCAATCCCTTCTTACAGAGAGGAAAAGCACGAGCAGGCAGTCAGCTCCCAATTTCCTTGGAACCAGGAGTGATTCTGGTGGCTGGATTTTGGTAACAAAACACATTACACACATCCAGCAGGGTGGGGAGAAGATTTTGGGATGCTCTGAGTAAAAATCCACCTGGCTGACACCGCCCCTGAGCAGTGCTGGGAGCTGCTGTAGGATCCAGCAGCTCCTGGAGTCATTGCAGCCTCGTCATAACAAATTCCAGCTCGAACTGGGCTCCTTTAGCATCCAAATTTCTCCTGAAATTCAGCACTTGAGCAATCAGGGCCCGAGCAATTAAAACAAAAGCAGCTGGAATATCAGAGCTCCCTCTGCTGACTCTGCCCTGGATCACTCGGGAATTTCCCGGAGCTTTTGGTTATTTCCCATTGAGGGAAATTTGATTTAAATGCAGTTGCCTCTTTGGCTTTAATTCTGTGGCTGCTTCTGAGCAATTATTGAGAGTTAATTCTGTAATTATTGAGAGTGACTTCAGCCTTACTCAGCAGAATAAAGAATTGTTAGCGATTAACACATGTGAATATTGTGGAAGGTACTATTGTATTTAAAAGTATATTTTTCAGATAAAACTCTAACTTTCTACATAATGAAATTGAGCCTTAATTACCAAAATTAGCAAATTCTTTAAAGCCAGATGGATTTTCTTCGGCCTTTCAGTTTCTCAAACATTGATTTTTTTTTTCCCCCAGCATATTTTCTGTTCCAGACTATATCCTATTAAAAACAAACATATTTTTCTCTTCCAGACTATATCCCATTAAAAACAAACATATTTTTCTCTTCCAGACTATATCCTATTTAAAATTATATTTTAAATTATTTAAATTAAATTATAGGATTAATAAATTATTTTTAAAAATTATTTTTATATTTATTTATAGGATAATAAATTATTTAAATTATTTAAAATACTATTTTAATATTAATGTTAATTATTAAATTATTATTATTATTAAATTATAGGATTTTATATCCTATTAAAAACAAACTCTAGACTGTCGCTCTCAGCATTTTTCTGACTGATTTTTGTGGGTGCTGCTCACAGGTCGGGGTCCTCATCACCTTCCTGCTGCTCCTGATTTTCTCCTCCAGCGTGGTTTTCCTGTTCGTGGGCACAGCATCCCTGGGGCTGTTCCTCAGCAGCACCTTCCCCAGCATGCTGGCCTACACCGAGGACATCCTGCAGTACAAAGGTGAGCTGCATTTTTGGATCCCATCCCCTTTTTTCAGCTCTTTCCCTCCTCCCTCGGGAAGCCTGGAAGTTCAGGTTTGCTTCTGGAGGCAGATTTCTTGTAGAAAAATGTCAAATTCTCCGTTTTGCTGGTGAGTAACGATGCCAGGCAGGGATGCAGCCTTGGTTCCTGGTTTGGGGAGCTCAGGGAGAGGCAGGAACGCTGCTTTGGAGGGAGATAGGTGTAAAACATCACCAGATTTCCTGAGCTGGAAACCCCAGAGCCTCCAGGATCCCTCTGTCTCCAGGGAAACAAGACACAAAACCAAAAACCTTTCCAGCAAGAGGCAACATCAGCTCTGCCAGCACACACAGGTGACAGGAGATTGATTTTTTTTTTGACTCTTTCACCTTTCTGCACTACTTCAGAGGCATTTCCAACACAAAGTGGGAATATTCATTGAGTATTTGTGACTTTTGTGGGGTGGAAAAGCTTTAGAGGAGCACAGGGTGGCCCTGCTGGCTGTGTCACCTCTGCTGCCACCACCCTGTTTCCCTTGCAGGCTGTGCCACAACCGTGCTGGTGACTGGAGCTGGCATTGGAGAGATGGTGCTGCAGCTGCTGGTGGGCTCGGTGAGTAGCCAAAAATACAAAAACCCAAAATAAACTTGGGATTTACAAGTCAAAAGCTCAGTTCTGGGCACTGCCTGAGCTTTATCCGCTAGCAAAGCCCTCCCTGATGATCCAGGAGGAATCTGAGTGATGTTTGATCCCTTTATTTCCCATCTGTGAAAAACGAGGTTCACATAATTTTTATAGAATTTAAAAATTTAATAAAAAAAAACAATTAGGAGAAAAAATGAAGTATACAAATACAGCCAGGTGTCTCTGCATTCACCTCACTGACAAAGGATTGTCCCTTAAAAACAGAACCCTACTACATATCCATAAATTCTCATACATATTCACACATTCTTCTTAGGATCTTTGGGGTTCTTCTGTTTAGTTTTCTCTTGCCCCCTTCCCAATAGATCAATCTTCTTGGCACCATTGAGATTTACATTCCCTGATACCAGAAATGCAATAAATTCCTCCCCCCAGAGTTCTGGTCACTGCTGTCTTCATCTGGATAAGATATTTACAAATGCAGGAGTTCTCTAGCTATTTTTTTTTCCCTCAGTCTTTGGTTTATACAAACAAAACCAGTTTTTATTTTAATACTATGCCATAGCCTAACATATATGTATTATACTACTATTTCTAAATTTCATCAATAACAGAAATAAAGAAAACTACATTACTACAACAAAAATTCCTCATTCTTACACACATACCATTCATTTTAATACATGTGAAAATCCAACAATATAAAATATATCTATAACACCATCCCAGATTATCCATGATCGGGGCAGCTACAGTTTCCTGGTGTGTGGGATGATCTTTGGATGCTTGGCCTTCACCTTCTACGCCCTGCTGGTGTTTTTCCACAGGATGTACCCCAAGCCCTCCCCAGGTAAGGGAGCCCTGACGCTGCTTTGGGATGGGAGCACAAACCTCACTCCAGAGCGTTCCAGCAGAATGCAAGGAAATGTTTATTTTACTGCTGCTTCCTCTCTCCTTTTCCTGCTTTGTCTTGCCCACAAAGCCTTGGCAGCCGCAGCTCGGGGTTTGCTTTCTTTTCTGCTGGAGAAGGAAGGGGAAAAAGCAGGAATCACAGACAGCACCAGCTTCCCTGGGCTGTTCCCTGGCTGAAATCCAGGGAATGAGTAGGGCTGCCATCCAAGGGCAGCTGTCAGGCTCTTGGAAAAAGCCTGACTGATAAAGGATTTTTTAGTTCTCACCTCAGTCTGGAGCTGCTGGTTGTTTTTATACAAAAGGAGCGGAGTGAGACTGGGAAAAAAAAACAAGTCTAGGTGTGGCTTGGGCTGCTCTGGGCACCAGGGGGGTCAAAACTCAGGGCTGGGTCCAGTTCTGAGCCCCAGTTTGAGAGGTGGGAAGGGTTTGGAGAATCCTGAGGGAGCTGGGAAGGGTTTGGAGAATCCTGAGGGAGCTGGGAAGGGTTTGGAGAATCCTGAGGGAGCTGGGAAGGGTTTGGAGAATCCTGAGGGAGCTGGGAAGGCTCAGCCTGGAGAAAAGGAGGCTCAGGGGGAATTCCTGGCTCTGCACAAGTCCCTGCCAGGAGGGGACAGCCGGGGGGGATTTGGGATGTTATCCCAGGGAACAGGGACAGGAGGAGAGGGAACAGATTCAGAGGGGGCTCAGCTTGGACAGCAGCAGGAATTTCCTCATGGAAAGGGCTGTTAAACATTGGAAGTTCCCTGGAATTTGGAGCTCCCATCCCAGGGAAGGCCTGGACATGGCGCTGAGGGCTGGTGAGGAGGAGGGGATGTGGCGGGAGGGTGGGGGGATGGAATAACAACATTCCTGAGGGAAAAAAACCTCTCACCAAACCCTTTTAATCTCAATTAAAGTGCCCATTGAGGTGAAATATCAAATTAACCTGAAATATTGAACGGATCTTTTGCAGAGCTGGACGAGGCCTCCCCTGACAAAGCAGCAGTGCCCGAGGACACGGGGCAGTACCAGCGCTGAGGGAGGGCCCAGCTCTGCACAAGCAATAAACCCACCCCTAATTAAGCATTAACTCCCAAGGGTGATTTCACATTTAACGAACTGAATCATGCGAGTTCTCTGCAATCAAAAGCACAGCAGGTGGGGTAAGGCAGAATCGAGGAAATCAAGCCCAAAACGTCAAGCTGAGCACGGGGTTGTGCCAAAAAATCCTGGGAAGTGCCAGGACTAAAAGCAGGGATGTTTGCACAGCAGTTCCTCCTACAAATGAACTTTATTTTTTACCTGCTCAGGACAGAGGGTGGGAAGGAAAAGCTGCTCTCTGCTCCTCATCCAAGACTGAATGTCTCCTGGCTTGGTCACTGCATTGAATAGATTTTATTTCTGGCCTGTGCTGCACAGGACCCCCCTTGAACTTACAGCACAAATCTGGGTTTTAATTCATTTTTGTGACTCGAGTCAGTGTCGCCTCCCTTGATCCTTCCAAAGGGGGGGAAATTCCAGAGTGGCAGAGCCCCTCCAGGTGCACACAGGTAGCAGGGCCTGTCTTTATTTGCACACTTTATTTCTGTATATTCCACACTCTAAACAGTGTCTTACTCAGCATGCTCAGGCCTCTTAAATGATTTAAGTAATCATTTACTTTTCTATTTTTTTTTTCAGGGCAGGGGGGTGGTTTCTCTTATTTTTTTTTTAAGTCAAGAATGAGCTGTGCTGGTTTGTTTTGCTTTAAGTCACTCCTCGAGCTGCTCCAGCTGCGGTGTCTTATTGTATTTTTTTTAAGGCTGGTTTTATTCCCAGCTTCCCAGCCAAGCTCCAAGAGAGAAAGGATTTATTTTTGTTTTGGGAGCCAGGCTCCAGCTGCTTCACCTGTGCAATCTCCTCATCCAGGTGCCTTGTGTAAGGTACTCCCACAGCCCACGCATGTCCCAGCCACCAGGAAAGGACTGGATTTTTCAGGAATGTCCAGGCTCCATCCAGCTCCTCCTGCCTGGAGTGGCTGTGGATTTAACTCCTCGCTTCAACTGCTGTATGTGATGTACATATGTACGTGTGTATATAAAGCAGTGTTTAATTAAAGGTGATTGATTGCTAATTGATTGATTGCTGGCTGGACTCATTCCGACACCCTCCATTTCTCAGGTTTTTTAAACTCAGGCTGAATCTAAATTTTTTTTAAATTAAATTTGCTTTTAATTAAATTTGTTTTTAATTAATTTTTAAATTAAATTTTTAAATTAAAAATTTTAATTATTTTTTAAATTAAATATTTTAAATTAATTTTTAATTAATTTTTTAAATTAAATATTTTTTAATTAATTTTTTAATTTTTTTTTTTTTTTTTTAAATTAAACTGGTTTGGGCATTTGAAGAATTGTGGAATGGTTTGGGTTGGGAGGGACCTTAAATCCCATCCTGCCATGGCCAGGGACACCTCCCACTGCCCCAGGTTTCTCCAGCCTGGCCTTGGACACTTCCAGGGATGGGACAGCCACAGATTCTCTGGGAAATTTCCTGTTTTTCCCAGCAGCAGCAGCTCTTCCCTGCCATAAAATATCCCCACAAACTCCTGTAGCAAAGAGCCTGGAGCTGTTGAATTGCCGTTTTCCTCCCTTCAGGCGAGTTTGGATCAAGTCAACGCAGCTGAATTCCGGATTTAGCTCATCCCTGGATTTCAGGGATGCCCTGCTGCCCCAAATCCCGCAGTTGGAATCTATTCTGTGATCCTACAATGAAACTAAACCGAATTCCAGGCCAGGCTGGAGCACCCTGGGGCAGGGGCAGGTTTTTAAGCTCCTGCCACCCCAAACCTTTCTGGGATTTGATTCCAAGCCCAGCAGAGATGCCAGTTCTGTTCCAATCCAGGCTGTAATTCTCCTCCAGCTCCACAGGATGCCACTCTTCCTCTCCTGGCCCTGCCTGCAATAAATCACCCGGAATAAAACAGGGAATGCAAAAAAAACCCCTCAATCTGTCCTTCCTCCAGCCCCTCCCACCATGAGAACATCTTTGGGCCCTGCTCGGAGGAAATGAGCACCAAACACTTCCAGGAGGGAGCAGATTTGGGAAGAAATCTCCTCAATTTGTGTCACAGCAGGACTGGCAGCTTTTAAACCATCCCTCCTTCTGGCCTGGCAGGTTTGGTTAAACAGAGCTCAACTGATTCTCAGTTAAAACCCACCACAATTCTTGGGTTTGGTAATTCCAATCTCCATTTTGGCTACTTGAAGAAACAAAAATAAATTCTATTTTAAGGAAATTTTCACCAGAATAGCACCTGATTTAGTAAAAAAAAAAACTTTAAAATACAATTTACCTCAAGGTCTTAAGAATTCCCTCCTTATCACATCCCCTGCAGCTGTAACTTTCTATTTTCTCTACTGAAAGAAAAAAAGACTCATCAAATGAGCAGAAACTTTGTTAAAAATATTTATTTAAAAAAATACAATTGTTTTGCATGTCTGGTTGCACATAACTATTAACATATGATTGACTTGAATAATTTGCTACAATGCTTTTTTTTTTTTTAAAGCCAGCTTGCATTATACAAAGCAAAATCCCTCTGTCAGTTCTTACATAAAATAGTTTTCTTTAACTATTCCCACCCCATTTTTTTTTAAAAAAAAAGGATTGCAATACATTGATTTTTATTTTTATTTCTTTTTTTTTCTTTTCTTTTTTTTTGCACAAAAATCGAAGCAATAGAAAAAAGTCACCTGATTTCTCAGGAAAGACCTTCATGATGTTTGAATAACAATTCCCAAAGAGCCACTGCCAAAGCAGCATTTGTCACTTTGAAGTGTCAGGACAGTGCAAAGGAAGTTTTGCATCTTAAAAACTTTACCTCCCAATTGTATTCAAACCTGAAATGTGCTCAAAAACTCCATCCCTGCCCTAATCCAGTTGCTCAGACTTTGAATTTTCAGGATGATTTACACACTGAAGGTCTTCCTAAATGTTATCTCGGAAGGTTAAATAAAAGCAAAATTTATTAACACTGAACAATTACTGAAAACTTTGGCTATTTATGTACTTGCATTACATACCAGCATTTTTTTTTTTTAAATTTTTTATTATTATTTTTTTTAAACACAATGGCATTAAGATAACTCTAATAAGGTATTTAAAAATAAAAAGTCAGACTGAGAAGCAATTCTGTCCCAGGCAGGGTCACCCAGCTGGAACGAGGGGTGACTTTTACAGTTGTCTTGTCCAGAAAAGTCTCCAGTGTAGGAAGTTTCAGACACTCACTACAACAAAACTTTGCCTCTTGAATTTGTACTATATATATATATATGTGTATATATATATATTTATAGAGAAAAGAAAAATGCAACTCTGTTCTGGAAAGAGCCACTGGAAATGTTCCCCCTTTTTGCTGCTTCCAGGGGGGTTTTCACCACTGATTGTTCTGAAAACCCCGAGGGAGGGAAAACCGGGAAGGAAAAACTCCAGCCCAGAGTTCCAGAGGGAGGGATCTGCTCCCAAAAAAAATAAACCTGCCAAGAACCCAGCTCAGCCTGAAAATTCCAGCGAGGAATCCACCCCCAAATCACCTTCCCAAATCAGATGTGCACTCCAGGAATGAACAGGACAACACAGGCACGTGGCACCAGGGCTGGATGGGGAGCTGGAGTGGCTAAAAATTGATTTAAATTGATTTAAATCCCTCCCAAGACACAAAAATCTGCCCAGCCCAGGGGAAGCTGGAGCAGCTGGATGTGTGCTGACTCCCAGGATTCACCCCCAGATGAATTCCAGCTGCCCTGATCTCCTTTAGGGGACACGACCTCTGTGTTTCCCTGGAATTTTTCCCTTTTTTTTTTGATTTATTATTCCAAATCAACTTCTCAGCTCTAAAAACAGAGGGGAATAAGCATTAAATGTGCTACTGTACCCATCACAAAGCACTGTGACGTACATAAGGCCATCTGGTAACACTGCAACAGGCTACAAAACAAGTTGGAAAAGGGAATTTTAGGATCTTTTTTCAAAGCTACAAAGGATAAATCTCAACCCTGTTCACAGAGAATGAAACGTTCCAAAAGTATATTTTATATAGAAAAAAAAAAACTCTGTGCAACTGAACAACAGCAGAACAACAACAACAAACAAAAAAAGAAATCAACACAATTCTAGGAAGCGGTTTCAAAGCTTGGAGGGGTTAGGACATGCTAGGGAAAAATAAAAAATAAAAATAAACAATCCCAAAATTCATCCCAAGGAGCTGAGAGCAAAGCCAGGGATTGGAATATCGGAACCCCCCACCCCAGCACACTCCAGGAACCATGCACAGACCACCCTCAGAGCCTCCCCTTGTTCCAAAAAACACAGAAAAATAACCCAAAAGGAAAGAAAAGAAAAATCAAAATCAAAATAAACAACGACAGCTTCCAGTTATTGGTACAGCACTGCTGAAATGGGCTCTGGAATCAACCCCAGCCTCTCTCCACTGCCTCCACTCACATCCCTTTTTTCCAAAGGGTCAGGATTCTCCTAGCCCTGTTTTGAGATGAAAACCTCCTGCAACACAACCTCAGCAGAGAAATCTTTTAAAATCGAGCCCAAACTTTTGTTCCATGCACACAAAACTACTCAAAAACACATTAAAACACTTTTTTTTCCAGGAGATGCGGCATCCAACAGCATCACAAAAATAACCTTTGGCAACTCACGGGTCCACGCAGGGACAGGATTGATTTGAGTGCTAAAAGAGAAGAAAAAGCCCCAAAAAAACCTCCAAAAGGAGTGCAAAATGTTTGAAAGTGGCGGCTGCGCAGTGCAGAATCTGCTCAGAGAGGGAGGATGGGGATATTTATGTGGATTTTTGGGAGCACATCCTGCCAGGAGTGATCCACGTGTGCTCTCTGGGCAGAGCTGTTCCAGCCACGCTTAAACACTGAGGAATCTAAAAATAAAATTAAAAAAAAAAAAAATCACAATTTTTCAGCTCTGACTGTGCTTCTCATTAGGGCCTGGAAGAGCTCCACGAGCAAAATCTGCTGCTTTCTTTGGGAAGGGGAATGAAAATTCAATTCTAGCCAGTTTTAGGGTGGTTTTGTTCCAAAATAATTTATAGGAAGCAGATATCTAGCTGTTCCAACGGGGAAATATTGGAATATCCGGGGAGAAACAGGGCCCTGCCCATCTGTGATCCGACAGAAAAACAAATTCTCCTGATTCCTGCTGGTTCCTGGCACAAAGGCAGGAATAAAATCCCTCATTTTGGGATTTACTGACACCAAACCCAAAATCCCACCTTTTCTGCTGGCTCTGAGTCCCTCAGGGAATCCCCACAGGAATGGGCAGCACTGCCCTCGTGGCTCCTCTGTCTCACCCTCCTGACTAAAATCAGCCTCTGGAGGAAGATTTGGTTCCATTTCCAAGGATTTCTCTCTGTCCAGAGCCACCCCTCACCTCCCCAGGCAGAATCTCCCCCTCCCAGAGGAATTCCGTGCCCAAAAGTGCCTCAGGAACGAACAGGACAACACAGACACGTGGAACCAGGGCTGGATGGGGAGCTGGAGCGGCTAAAAATTGATTTAAATTGATTAAAGACACAAAAATCTGCCCAGCCTGGTGAAGCTGGAGCAGCTGGATGTGTGCAGATTCCCAGGATTCACCCCCAGATGAATTCCAGCTGCCCTGATCTCCTTTAGGGAACACAATTGCTGTGTTTCCCTACGATTTTTTCCCTTTTTTTTTTTCTCCCCACCAGCTTTATTATTCCAAATCAACCTCTCAGCCCTAAAACCTTGGAATAAGCATCCCCCAAGGCAAAGGGACACCCTGGAGGGCTGCAGAAAACTCTCCCTGCATTTTATCCCAAAATCTCCCTCTGCCAGCTCTGATTCCAGCAGCTCCAGCCTGGATCCCTCACACCCAACAGCCACCGCTAATTGCTGCTTAATTAACTCCAAATCAAACCATAAACGCCCGTGCTTAGGCAGCTCAAGCCTCACCAAAGGTCCTGGAGAGGTCCTGAGTGAATCCTCAGGGATTTTGGGCTCCTCTGGGGCTGCTCCAAACACCCCACTGTGATTTTTAGGATAAAAAAACCCCACTCCACCACCTCAGAGACCAAAAAGTCTCTTTTATTTTTCCCCCCCCCCCCATTTCTACTCTTCCAAATCCAGATTCTATTCCTCACAGAAAACAATCACCCAAAACTCCAAAAAGTTTTTAAATACCTGTGGATTTTAACAACATTCCCTGACCTGCTGCTGAGGTTGATTTCCGTGAGAAGCCTCTGGATACAAGACTGAGATGGACTGGAGACAAACCTGCCTTAAAAATGGGAGAGGTGAAACTGCAGAGCACATCAAAAACTGCCACAAAACAGGAGCAAAAATAGGTAATTACAAGATAAATGAGTAAAGCATGGGAGCTGCATCTCAGCTGGAGGAAAAGCCCCAGGAGGGGATGAGGGCTCTTGGATCCCATCCCAGCTGGAATTCCCAGGGAATCCCCCAGGGATGCAGCTCCCTGGGCTGGGGGAAGCTGGAGAAGGGAGATTTGCACCTCAGCAGCTTCACTGCCCTTAAAATGAACGTCAGAAACCCAAAATAATCTATTTGTGGGATAGCTGAGGCTTGAAAATGCATCAGAGGGAGAAATTATCCCAAGGAAAGCCTTTCTGTTCTCCCGTTATCCCAAAGATTGCACGGATTCTGAAGCCTTGGGATGCTCCAAGTGAAAACAAGGAATTGTCCAACTCCAGGAATTTTATCCCTTCCTGACCTATCGCAAAACAAAGCTTGAATGTGCCAAAATCAGGGCACAGGAATTGCATCCCCTGCTGAGGACAGGTCTGAAACAAAGCTCTAAACCTAAAGCTGCTGCTAAAAACCACCAAAATTCCTCTTTTTCCCAGGATCACCTTCCCAGGAAAAGCAGAACACCGACGGCTCCACAACCAGGGACCGTTCCTCCGCTTCCAGGGGAAGCTCCTGCCAGGAACGCTGAAAATCCAGGATCCAAAACAGATCCCAGACAGCAGCTCCCCGTGGAAAATTAACAAAACCAAACCCTAAATCCTGCCAGTGCCTTGGGTTCCATGGAAGTACAGACAGCAGGGATTCAATTCCCATCTCCAGGACCCGGGGAGGACGCTGGGCTCTTGTTTTGTCTTCTGCCAAACCCTTTTTGTTCTACACCAAATGCTTTGACCTTCCTTGGCACCCAAGGAATGAGCTGATCAAAAATTGCCAAGCATTCCACAAAAACAGCAAGAGGAACCTCAGGAAAATAAAAAAAAAAAAAAAGTTTCTGTAATGCTGCATTATTTTTTTTTATTTATTATTATTATTATTATTTTTTATATATTTTTTTTTTAATTTAAATCACCACGGTACGGAAATAAAACGGAATCTACTCTAACCCCACCTGGCTTAGGCTAAATTAAAAATAAATTGTGAGGAGCTGCACAGAAAGGGCTCCTGAAGTGACCTAAAGATCCAGCATGATCCATGAGCCCCCGGGGAGGCTCCGGCAGGAATGTGATCCCAGGAAAAGCTGGAAGTTCCCTGTCAGTGAATGTGGCTGATGAGGCAGCACACAAGGAAATATTCCCTTAAGTGACCTGAAAGTTGCAGTGGAGAAAAGGCAGCAAAAGCTGCTCCTCTCCCTGCTCCTCTCCCTTTTCCGTCAGCTTTCCCAGCTGCTTCCTGAGTTTATCATCCCATGTGGACTCGGATTTGTTTCCCTTTAGAAGCCAAAGCCATCCCATTCCTGCTCTGCCTGCTGGATTTCACAGGGTGGAAACCACCCCAATCCAGGCTGCATTCCACAGGAACTCGGCATTCCCAAAGGAAAACCTGGATTTCTGTGGCAGAGCCATCTTGGGAAGCTTCCTGGAGAGGAGCAGGAGCTGAGAAATAGCATTTTTTAGGGCCTGACCCTCTGCCCAAAGCAATAAAAGTTCACAAAGGATTAAGTGCACAAATTTTCAACAGCTAAACTTGGCTTTTCTCCACAGGGGAACAAGGGGGGGAAGGGAAGCAATTAAATTGCAAGTTTTTAGTGCTCATTCATGAATTTTCAATTCCAATGCCAGCCTGCAAACATCACTGTCTCAAAAAAGACCACGGATTTTGGTAGGCATAAAACTGGCTGACCTGAACCAACCAAAGTGCTGCTATTTATTACATAGCTATAGAAATTTCCCAGAGCAGGCTCCAAACATGCAAACCAAAAATAAAAATAAAAAAACAATAATTCCAGATGCTTGCTCTTCACCATCACCTGCAGCTCCCTCTTCTGCATTTCAAAAAATAAAATTACAAAAAAAAATAAAAAAATAAGGTCAATATTGCACATTTTAAGAGCTGCTGGCGCAGGAATTTCCTCCTGCATCTGCTGATGTCTAAAAGTGAAGCAATTTTTTGCCTCTGACGGGAGCCAACAGGAAGACAGGTCACTCCATGAGCTCACTCCCTGCTTCTCCACCTGAAAAAGGAATATTTTTCTTCTCCCACTTTTCCCCTGGGCAGGTGAACAATGCCCGAAGAAAAGTGACTCTGTTCCACCCACCTGTCCCAGGTGTCACATCAGGAACACAAACTCACACACAAAAAAAAAATAAAAGTGGTTTTTCTGTATCATAGAAAAGGGAACATCACCGCAGGAAAAGAAAAGTCTTGGGTGTTGTGGCTTTAAAGGGAATTCTCCAAGCCTGCAAAAGCGGCAAAAGGAATAAAACAAAACCTCTGGAAAAGCTCGAGTTCACCACGGATCCATGGAATAGTATTTACAGCAAACACTGTCAGCTCCTCGTGCTGGAGAGGGAAAAATCTTCCTCTGCTCGTGGCAGCTCTGAGGATGCTGAAGGAAAAAGAGATGTCTCCATCTGTTTTCTGGGAATATTTTTAAGGAGAAGATCCTCTGACACCCCCAACTCAAACCCAGAAGTTGCTGCCTGGCTTCAGATGCCCAAACTGGCGGGACACAGACCCAGAGCCCAACCCACCCCGAGTGAGGGGCTGAGAGAGGAGAATCTCTCCTTTTTTCACCCCTCAGTTTTCTTAAAAGGCCTCCTGAGGTGTAAAAATCCACCTACAAATCCCATCTCATCTGCAGTGGCTCTGGAAAACAATCCTGCATTATTCATCCAGCACACCAAGGAGGTGAAAGCAGATTTACCACGAGGCTGAATCCCGTGGAACCCCTGGGGCTGCTTTGGGGTCAGCCCCCAAAAAACAAAAACCAACAGCTCCACTGACAGATTTGGGGTAAGAGCTGGCAAAAGAGGAGCTTTTCCACGTAGGGAAAAGCAGGAAGCTTTTCCAGAACTGTGGGGAAAGAGGAGCAACATTAATGTTGGGATGTTGCTGTTCTCACCCCACTGGGGATTCCAGCTCAGGCAGCAACCTCTCCCAAAAACCGCAGGGGAAATCCCCCAAAAACCGCAGGGAAAATCCCCCCAAAACCCAGGAAAATCCCCCAAAAACCCAGGAAAATCCCCCCAAAAAAAGCAGGGAAAATTCCCCCCATCCTGCTCATCCAAGCAGGGAGCTCCCAGGCTCTGGGACAGGTCTCTGGCACAAGAAATGTTTGGACTCCAGCATTCAAACTCTGTGAGAAGTGAAGGGAGCTCATCCAACCATCCATGGAAAAGGGAAGGAGGAGGACAGAGAAGCATCCAAAATCCAGCCCCATCTCTTCTCCCACGGGGCTGTTGGGCCACACCACCCCTCCACAGAAATGTCCTGGTCACAAACTTGGAATAAATCCTTGAATAAAAATTTCTATCTGCAAAAAAAAAAAAAACAAAAAAAACCAACAAGAAAAGACAAGGCCAGCAGAAAAGCCCCGGCTGCTTTTGTTGCTGCAGAGTTCTGGTGCCCCCGGGGCAGAGCTGAGAGCACACACCCCATTCCCAAGCATTTCCTGGAATGCCAGCTTCCATCAGGATTCAGGGTTCTCCTTGCCCAGCCACAGGAAGCAGAAGAACAGAGGGGTTTTTGTTGTTTTTTTTTTGTTTGTTTGTTTGTTTTTCCAAGAGTCACAGAGAAAATCCTCCTCTGGTGCTGTTTGCTGCAGTCAGTGCAGAATCAGTTGCTGCAACACCACCCAAAATTCCTTTTGGACAAGGGGGAAAAAATCTTCCAAACCGAGGAGGAGAAGAGATTGGAGCTGCAGCTCCTATTAAGGCGTTTGCATATACATTCCCAACCTGGGTTCTTCCAAAAACAAAAAAAAAGGGGGAATTTTTTGCCAAAAAAAAAGAAAAAAAGGCATTTTTCATTTTTTTTGATTGGGGAATGGCAACAACTACGACTGCTGGGAATCTCTGTGGAATTACAAACTGCTCAGGTTTTTTTAAAATAAAAAAAAAAGGTGGTTGAAGAGAAGTGTCCTATCTTTGCCTTGCTTGTCCTTTTCTAGGAATTCCATGTGCTATGTCTTCTGGAGATCCGGGGAAAAAGGGCCGGGGGTGGGGGGTCCATCCAGTCCAGACAGCGTAAATGGGCCGTGACTGTTCAGCACTGATGGAAACTAAGAGGTAAAACAAGAATCATTAAAAAAAACCCACTTTAATTCACTGTTCTTCCCATATCTGTGCACAAAAGAGGGAAAAAAAGAACCCCAAATGCAACAAAATAAAGCAAAACCACCCCAGACTTCAAAGAAGCCTCTTGGCTTCTCGCTTTTAATTTATTTTTTAATGCCAAGAGGTGTCACAGTGAGCCCTGAGCTGAGCACTACCCCATATCCTCATTAAAATGTGACTCTAATCCAGGTTTTGGGGAAAATGGGGTCTAAATTGCCCCTCAGTTAATTATCAATAATTAAATTAGGATAGGGAATAAAACAAGGAGGGCTGAAATGATGCTGGATTTTTCCAGGGTGAAAATTCCAGCATCATTTCAGCCCTCCTTGTTTTATTCCCTGTCCTCATGGTACAGATGAGGAATTTCCTTCATCTCCATGGAGATGACAGATCCCAGCCCAGATTTAATTCAATTCTTTCATTTCAGTGAAATTAAATAAAAATTTGTTAAAATTGGTTAAATTCTACCCCTTCCCTCAGCAAATTCAGGCAGCAAATGTGGTAATTCCAGTGCCAGGGTGGAAGTGGGAGGGAAAAACATGAGAATTACAAATAAAGGAGGGTTTTTTTCCTTAAATAAAGTGGATTTTTTTTAATTCTACAGTAAAGAAAATCCTGGCCTTGGACACTTCCAGGGATCCAGGAGCAGCCACAGCTTCCCTGGGCAACTGTGCCAGGGCCTCCCACCCTCCCAAGGGTGAATTTTATGGATTTCTTCCATAAAAATCATCAAAAACTGTGCCACACATCATCACAGAGATCAAACACATGCTCTTTCGCCTCGTTAGTTGTGAGATTAATTAATACTTTTCAGCGGGAATGATTGGAATAATCAAAAGATCAATATTCTCAATAGAGAATAATCAACAGAAAACTGCAAAATTCAGGAAAATCCCAACTGAAAAAAAAGTTACAGGGAGGAAATTTTTACAGAACTAAAAAAGAAAATTAATCTCTCTCCAAAGCAGTCTGTGCTGCAGTTAATTTCAAACATTCAAAACACCAAACATTTACAACATCCTGAAATAAAACCGGGTAAAAACTAAAATTAACTCCCTCAAAAGCCACCAGAGGGGGTAGGAAACAACAACTCCTATTTTATTTGTGCTGCAAATATTGGGAATAACTGATCCCTGGAGGAATAAAGGTGGGACTCACCTGGAAGAGGGTGTTAGCACCTTGCAACCTGGCAGGGCTGAGAGGAGCCACCGGGCTCAGGGTGCTCCAGAAGTGGATGCTGGAGAGCAGAGGGCTGGGAGTCAGCAGGATGGGAGTCTGAAAATTCAGGAAAAACAGCTGTGAGAGCCTTTCCCCTGGAATTCCAGCCACAACAACCCCCCCCTCAGCTGCCAGGGATTTCAGGAACACCCATCCCCTCCTTCCTGCTCCTCCTCCTCCTCCCTGCCAGCCCCATCCCTGAAGAATCCAACCCTTTTATTCCCAAATCCTGCTGGAAGCCAGAGCAGAGCGGCTCCTCCTCCAAGCCAGCACCTGCACTCTGGCAAAGTGGGATTCTGGGTTTAAAAAGGAAATTATCTGGGTTTAAAAAGGAAATTATCTGGATTTAAAAAGGAAATTATCTGGATTTAAAAAGGAAAAAACAGCAGGCACACCCCCCTCTCCTGGTGCCACAACAACAAAAGGAATTTCCATCCAGCTCCTGAATATTCCAGCTTCGCCAGCCAAGCACTTCCCAGGGTGCCAGAAGAGCAACTCCACTTGGATTTTGTTAATTTTCTTTTTCCCCCCCTCATCTTCAGCCATTTGGGTTTTCAACCAGCAGCTTTCCCCACGGTTTCACTCTTAATTCCAATTTATTGCAGGGGAGAGATTCTACAGATCCAGAATGATTTAACAGCCCTGCTGGATTCAGCTCTCTTCCAAGTTTTCCATGAGACATGAAAGCTTTCCTTTCCCACACAAAGATAACAACCAAATTAAGCAGCTGCTCTTATTGCTGCTCGCTCACAAGACTTTGGATTTAACTAAATGCTACTAAATGAGTAAAAAAAGCTGAGCAGACACCTCTGTGGGTCCCAGTTTTTGAAGGATTTTCAGGCCCAGCTGGAGGATTTAGGAATAATTCAGTATCCCCCTGGCAAGGTTTACAAAGATCCTGCTGGAGCTGGTTTGGGTTTTGTTTCCCTGTGTGCACCTGGGCATGCTTTGGGGTGAATTAACAGCAATTGTGAAATCAAACTGGTGTTTGATTAAAAAACAAAACGAAAGTAAACAAGCTGGGAGTGACATCCTGAGTTTCAAATCTCTGCATACAATGAGCTATTCATTTTCCACTTGGCTGTTTTTGAGCATAACATCGTCATTGTTATTGTTAGTTAAAAAAAAATTAAAAAAATAATAAAAATATAATAATAAATCATTAAAAAATCATTAAAAATCATAAAAATCGTAAAAAAATCATTAAAAAAATCATAAAAAATCATTAAAAATCATAAGAAATCATAAAAAAGTAATAAATCATTAAAAATCATTAAAATAATTTTAAAAATCATAAATCACAAAAAAGTAATAAATCATTAAAAAATCATTAAAATAATTTAAAAATCATTAAAAATCATTAAAAAATCATTAAAAATCATAAAAACCATTAAAAATCATAAATAATAAATCATAAAAATCATTAAAAAATCATTAAAAATAATTAAAAAGTCATTAAAATAATTTAAAAATCATTTAAAAATCATTAAAAATCATAAAAACATTAAAAATCATAAAAAATCATAAAAATCATTAAAAAATCATAAAAATCATTAAAAATCATTAAAAATCATTAAATAATCATTAAAAAAATCATTTAAAAATCATTTAAAAATAATTAAAAATCGTAAAAAATCGTAAAAAATCGTAAAAAATCATAAAAAATCATTAAAAAATCATTAAAAAATCATTAAAAAATAATAGAAAAAATAATAATAAAAATAAATAATTCAGGAAAGTAATTTGGTCACCTGAGAGAAAAGTGCTGGAGTAAGAGAAGCAGTTGGGAGAGAAGGACTCAGGATGCCCAGAGGACTCGGATCGCTGCCCGTGATGACCAGAGTGGGAGCCAGCTCCAGCCCTTTGGGTTTTTTCGACCTGGAGAGGTGATTGGCAAATTCCTTCTCCAGCACAGCTGAATCCTGCTGCTCTTTGGGCTCTGGGGATTGGTGCTGGAGGCTCTGGGCCTGCTCCAGCTGCTGGGAAGCCACAGATTCGATGTCCGTGTCAATGTCCAGGTCGGGGTTGGAGCTCAGGGGCGGCGAGGGGGGCGTGGAGGGCACCTGCAGGCCGGGAGAAACCGAGGACATGGGGGGGGTCGGGGTGAAGCTGGTGCTCAAGTTTGGCAAAGGTGCTGGAGGAGCCTCGGGGACGCTCAGCTTGGGCAGGACCAGCGTCTCCAGGGTCTGCAGAGTCTCCTCAGAGCCCAGGGGAAGCGAGGAGGACACGGTGGGGGTGGCAGAAGCCGTGGAAGTGACCGCCACCGCCGAAGCGCTGGTGACCAGGGGGGCAGAGGGAGGAGGCTTTTTGGAGGGCATGGTGACAAACTTGATGACAGAGGGGGTGGGGTCCTGAGGTTTCTTCTCCGTCAGCTTCTCGGCCGGGTTCTCGATCTTGATGGACCTGAAGAGCTTCACGCTGGAGGAGTTGAGGGAGTTGAGGGTGAAGGAGGAGTACAGGCCTGAGTGGATGTAGTCGTTCCGGCTGGAGGATTTAGCACAGGACTGGGATTTCTCCTTCCCACAGTTTTCCACGTCCTTGGGAGCGCTGGCCACCTCCCCAAAGCCGGGCATTTCAGGGTCCCCCTCCATCCGGCCCACCACGAGAGGATCCATGTTCAGGATCTCTGGGTACGACACGAATTTGTACACAAACTTCTTCCCGTTCACCTTCTTAATGATATTCTGGGGGGAAGGAGACAAAGTATATTTAGACCTTTCTGCAGATTAATTTTCTTCCTACAAACACTGCCTAAAATAGGCAGAGGAATTAAAGTCTGTAATCTTTCAGCCAAAAAAAAAAAAAAAAAACCCTGAATGTTTCTTTTTTTCCTGTTTTAAAAACACCCTTGCGTGTTCCAGTTCTGCTCCTGGAGCTGGCAGACAAAACACTGCAACAGGTGAGCTTAACCTGACATGAAACACACTAAAAACAGCCTAAAAACTGCCAAGAAATCCTGTTTAACATCTTCAATTAAACAAAAAAATGCCCATCATCCCCATCAAGGATCACTATGGGTAATTTAATAGTAGAACTTGCTAAAGGGTTTCTCCAGGACTGCAGAATTGAGAGCCTGCACTTCAGATCAAACCACCTTTATTCTTAATAAGATGATAATAAAGGAAAATAAGCAGCTGAACTCGTCAGCAGAATGCAGGCTAATCACTTATTTCAATACCACACAACAGCATCTGCCAAACTTGTTTTGCTCCTCGGAGAAATGCCACACACACTTTGGATTTGGGATTATCCTTATTTATCATTCTGTGATTGCTGCTGAGATCTCTCAGTACCGAGGCAGATTTGGTGCCACCCAGTAATGGACACCAGCAACCTCCCACCTGCTCCAGGCTGAGGCTCCTCAGAAACTGGGGGTTATTTTTATCTGCTCCACTCGCACACGTGGGATAAAGGGAAAACAAAGGTGAGCCTCGAAGATGCTGGAGAAACAAAAGCTTCTTACTCTGCTGGGCTGAAAACTGGTCAAAATGAAGGGGAAATTCTGAGTGCACAAACAGAAATAATTTGGGGTGAAAAATGTTTGTTTTGAAAGAAATAAACGTAAAGCTGTGGAAAGATCTGAAAGTGGTGCAAATGTTCATGCTCTCCATCGTCATCCTCTCCCGGTGCTTTACCTGGAGTGATGAGGGTTTTAACCCTTGCAAGGGTGTGTATTTTTGGAAAGGGGATTAGGATCCAAAGTCAAGTCTGTATTAGCAAAAACACCGAGCCAACTCTTCGCACAAAGCCACCAGAACCTCCCAAAACAACCAGCGAGGAGGAAACAGCGCAACCATAAACAAAATTAAAAACCAAACCAACACCTTTAAACAAAGCAGCCCGGCTTCCTTCAACCTGGCAGAGCCACAGCAGTGCCACCCCTCCCCTGGAGGAGGGAAGGCAGGAGGAAACAAAGCTCCTTAGCTAAGAGGGATAAGGCTTGGAGCAGGATTTCCACCCTACCTTCACGTAGTAGTAGCGCAGCGCCCGGCTGAGTTTATCATAGTTCATGCTGGGCTTGTTCTTGCGGATCCCCCAGAGCCTGGCCACCTCCTCTGCCTGCAGCAGCTTGAATTCCCCGTCGTTGGAGGTCCAGCAGATGATATTCTTGTTCTGGGGCTCTTGGAGCAGCTGGAGGAGGAACTGCCACAGGGTGATGGCACTGTCCATAGCAGAGAGCTGCAATTCACAAAGGCAGGTTAAGCCCAGAGCATTTCCCTCCTCTCTCCCTACAAGGAGGGGGTGGGGGGGAAAAATGGAGCAGGGATTGTTATTTCCAAAGCCAGCAAGAGTAAAAAATTATTAGTCACCAGTCGTGAAAGATGTTCCCTGCAGAACTGAGGGGCTGAGTGCCAACTCTGGCGTCTCCTCCCACATGTCAGTACTTTTCACATGGGTTATATTTAGCCTCATTTAACTAAATCAGGTCACTTTGGGTAAGTTGCAGTGAGTCACTACCCCCAAAAAAAAATGTTTCCAAGTTGTTCCATGTTCACCCACTCTGGCTTGTGCTGCTTTGTGAGAAACAGCTCAGGTACACCCAGGTAGGGATGAAACCACCCCCTCACCTCCTCCTTTCCGCACCTGCTCCCACCTCGGAGAGAACAACGAGGAACTGCAAAGCTCCAGCAAGGTGCCAGAGCAAAAACAACTCAATTTTCCCTCAGTTTCTATTCCTGCCTCTTCACCAGCAGCCCTCTCAATCACCCCAATCTCTGCTTCAAATCCAGGTATCACCTCTGGTTTGTTGTTTTGTTTTTTTTTTTTAACGAGAGTAAACACAAAAATAAATTAAAATTATTCCAAACACTGCCTTTGCTCAACTCTTAATTCCTGCCATGCCCTACCCACGTCAATGATTTAGGCTGGGACTTTCTAGGACTGATATCTGCCAGTTGATTCCTGCTCTAAAGTTGGTGATGCATAAATCCATCAAGGACAGACCAGGCAGAGAAATCACATTTTACCTTGACCATATCTGACTACACCAAACAGTATTTCCACAAATATTTTTAAGCAGAACACTCATCATTCTGGATATGATACCGTGTGAAATAAACCAGACAAAATAATAATTGAGCATCTCCTATAGCTTCTCTCAGTCCAGAACTTTAATTAACGCAGCTTAAACTTCTTCCTGTGAAATAAAAACAGAGGAAAAATGCTCTGGGATAGTGAATAACGCTAAAAATGTCTGGATATACATAACCACAATATTCTTCCCACCAAAATAAAGGGGGTCCAGGGGTTCCATCTGGTTGAATTTGATATTCAAATGCTATTCCCAAGCTCCAAACCGAAGGCATCGAGGCCAGGCTGGTGTTGGTGGCAGTCCCTGTGTACACAGGGCTCGCTCTGAGATCCAGCCAGCTCATCTTTGCTCCCAAAGCCTTTTATTCCAATCTCATTAGTGCCCAGCACTTATCCAGCCCTATATAAGGAAGGGAAGCGAGTCCAGGGAAGAGGCTGAGCACTCAGGGAGCCCTGGGACAGGATTAGAGCTGACACTTCACACAGGGCTCTCGGGGAAATGAGGTGCCCCAGGGCAGGTGCATTTTTTGGGCCCAGCCCGTGGCATTTCAGCCCTTCTGCAGAATCCCTGCCTCATGGCACACGGGCTGATGTGACATTGATCCAGCCAGGTAAATTGCTGCAATTACATGGAACGATCTCAAAGTGAAGGACACCCACACCCCCTCGTTAGGCTGGCCCGAGGTGCTTTCCCTGTTAATTACTGCACACGTACAACTCCCTGCTTGCCCAAATTAATTGCTCGGCACTCGAAGAAACTGGAGGCTGTGCTTCCAGACTCTTCCCACACTGCTCTGTGCCGTGCCAGCTGACCCATACAGGATTTAGGGACCGGGCAAACACCTTAAAACCCTTCCAGGACCGCCTGGTGTTGCCATTTATCCCCAACATCCCAGATCTGGAACGCCAGGCCCGCGCCTCGTTATCCACGGGGATGATGCAGCCACACGTGGTGGCGTGGAGAGCACGAGGACTCGGTTCTGCCACCCAGCAGAGCTGTCAGGAGCAGTGAGATGTGCTAAGAGAGAGCAGGGAAACGAAGCTGAGTGATTATTCCCACGCTGCGTTTATCTCCAGCACTCTGGGAGCACTGCATCAAACGGCGCTGACTGATGCAACGTGGAAATCAGATTAGCAACAGCATTTCACAGTGGAAAGGATTTTTGTTTTTTGGGGTTTTTTTCCCCCCCTCCTGCTTAAAAATCCACGCAGCTTCCACCCCAGAATTGAACTGGTGTTATTTCATGAGGCTGCTTCCCTTTAGGAAGTCCCACCTTGCTGTTAATTCCAAGCTGACCCAAGCCAAGTGCTGCTGCCCGCGTCTGGAATCCAGCTGGAGATGCACAAAACAGCCCAAACTTCTGTAAAACAGCACACACAGAGCGGCCAAAATGATGGAAAGTACTAGATATTAAAAACCAAACAGCAAAAAAAACAAAAAACACCTTTCCCAGAGATGAGCTAAGTCCTTCTGAGGAGCGTTTCCCAAAGTTAAGAGTTCACACTGCTCAAAGCCTGCAGTTTTCCAGCTGGAAGGATCCTCAGCCAGAGTCACAGGCTGTACTGGAGTGAAGTTTTGATGAAGTTCCTCCTGATGTTTCTGGCACTTGCAGCTTCAGGCGTGTCACGATTCTGTCCATCACTCTGAGGACACACAGCACATCCCCAGCTTGGAAAAGTCTTGTCTAGGAAACATTCAAAGGGTGGAGAGGCCTCGCTGATTCCCTGGCTGTCACAGAACAGGAGAAGAGAGTACTCTGGAATTGTTCATGGATGGGTTTTACTGTGTAAAACAGAATGAATATTCCTCTTTGTTAAATATTCACTGCATTCATCTCCAGGGAATGATGGAGACCCTGCAGCAAAACCTCAAAGAAATGGAGAATATGGAGTTTACCAGGAGGTTATATCCAAAGGGAAGGCCAGAAAACAACCTTGCTCAAAGCAATGGGATCACAGGTGGATTTTGCCCTTTCAGAGTCCAGGAGAGAGCTGTTACCTGGCAAAGTGCAAGGTGTATCAGGAGACAATGTTGTGTCTCATGGAACTCTCACCTAACTTTAGTACCGAAGTTGCTCAGCAGAAGGATACACCAAAAACCTCTTGTTTCCCCAGGAAAAAGCAGAAGATTAAAAAAAACCATCACACAAGATGTAAAATTAAAACCAGCACAGGTGAGGTGAGCGCTTCTCTTTGTCTGAGCACCACCAAACGTGGGGAAAAGGTTTTTCCTTCTCCAGCAGCCAGGGCAGGAGCAGCTGAAGCCTTTCCTGAGCCTTTCCCTTAGCACCAACAGGGATGAGAAGTGGCTCAAGAACCCCCTGTCCCACTCCTACCCTAGGTGACTGAGGGTGAAATGGTATCTCAGTTTGTAAACAGCATTTCAACCTTTTTAAATTTCCTCAAAAGGCCCCACTCTCCTCCTCTCACAGCTCTCCACCAGCACAAAAACCCTCCCAAGCCCAACTGCTTTTCCTCCAGGATGAACACATCAATGATTACAAACACAGCGCTGCAAAACATCCTTTTGTGGAGGTTCTTCTCCCTCCTAAGAGCCCGTGGAGAAAGGAAAAGGCCTCACTGGAAAAGGGAATGAGGTGGAGAGGCAACAGCCTTTCCCCTCCTGCACCATGTGAGCAGGAAGAAAAAAATAGTTGCTAGAGGCAGAGGGCAGCTCTGCTTTGTAATGAGGGAGCAAAAATAGAGAACTATTATTGTCTTGAGATCTTCTCTGACGCCTACGGGTGACCCTCGGAGCTCAGGAGCTGCCAGGGTTTGGCTGCACAGCTCCCAGCAAACCTGAGCCTCCTGCTGCTGCTGCAGGCTGGGCTTTGCAAAGCCTTCAGCTTATCCACAAAAGCCGGGATTTGGGATTTCTCCGGTGATTTCTCCTCGCTGTGATCCGTGGGATTGCAGGGCCCGCGGGCTTGGCTTTTCCTGGGAATGTGAGGGTGCGAGCAGGGCTGGCACGGAGGAGTTTAGGAAGTGGCACAATCGGCCCCGTGGGCAGCAGCTAGGCTGCCTGTGGCACAATAAATCCAAATATTCACCCTCTATGCTCCAAGAGGATCCCTCTGCACGCCCTGGGAAGGGAGCAAAGGCGGGATTAGGGGGGTTAGGCCTGTCCTAACCCCCCTCCTTTGAGGTCTTCTGGCAGATTTCCTGTGCTTTGACTCAACACCAAATAATCTCCAATAATCTTTCGCCTCCATTTGTTGCAGCAGCCTCTGGTAAAGCATCTGCAGCCTGATGACTTCTGCAGATGGACTGAATAAAAAAAACCTTGTCAGGCCCCCACACAGGAACAAAGGCCCAGAGGAAAGGAAGGATGTCACAGCCACACAGCAAAACCATCCTGAACTGGCACGGTGACAGCAGCCCCGGTGTCACACGGAGGGGACAGCCCCAAAAAGCGCCTTGGGAAGCGGCACCGAGCAGAGGAAACTCGGGGAGACACAAAAACAGCTCCCAGCCCCAAAATAAAAATGGAAATAAAGGCAGCAGCAGGTCTGGGGAAAGCTCATGGTGCAGGTGAGCAAATCATGGCTTCAATTCCAGGAAATTCCAGGAGGGCAGAGCTCACCAGCACTTCCCAGAGCCATTCCCAGGGATTTTTTAAGCACTTTGGGAAGGCTCACGGTGTGTGAGCAGGAGGAATTCTGCAGACAATAACCCCAAAAAGTGCCTTGGGAAGCGGCACCGAGCACAGATAACTCGGGGAGACACAAAAACAGCTCCCAGCCCCAAAATAAAAATGGAAATAAAGGCAGCAGCAGGTCTGGGGAAAGCTCATGGTGCAGGTGAGCAAATCATGGCTTCAATTCCAGGAAATTCCAGGAGATTCCAGGAGGGCCGAGCTCACCAGCACTTCCCAGAGCCATTCCCAGGGATTTTTTAAGCACTTTGGGAAGGCTCACGGTGTGTGAGCAGGAGGAATTCTGCAGACAATAACTCCTGCTCTCTTGTGCAATATTTTGCTGTGGACACAAGGCCTTGGTGGCTGTTCCAGGAAAACAAACAGAGTTGGGTGAAGGAGACTTTTGGAGGTCACAGGCCCAAGTCCACACTGAAAACCTCAAAATCTGAGCAGGATTTCCCCCCGCCCCATCTTTGTCCAATTAAATAAATGAATAAATAAATGGCTGCCCCGTCCCTTTTTATTGTGGTGGCAGGTGTGACACAGCTGATGAAGTATCCAATGAAGTGGTTATCAAAATAAAACCAAGCAACAATTTCATCAGCAATACCCCATTCCTAATAAACCTTTTCTAAAAGCTTTTCCAGCTCCTGGGGCTGTGACTCACCTGAACCGGTACTTTAAGGATTTTATCAATTTTAATTAATTTTAGAAAGAGCCTACTATTAAAAAAAAACAAACAAAAAATCCACAAATCTACTGCCCAAAACCTGACGTGGTGGGAAGCACAGCAGGGAGCTGAGCACACATAGGTGAAATGCCAGGTAAATGCCTCTTACATGTGTCAAATAAAGGAATTAAACAAGGAATTCAAACTAGAAATGCAGAATTCTACACCTCCCCTAAAAAAAACTCCAACTCCTGGCAGCTTTCCATGTAGTAATCAAAGTATCTCTTCTTTAATAACTACCTAAAATCAGGTAAAAACACAGGAAAAAGCACCCCAAACAGCAATAAATTCTTGTTTTCCCCTTGCCTCTGGCATTCCCTGCACCGTTGTTCCCAATCCAGGCAGGAAAATCAGATTGTTGTGAAGGAGAAGCCGTGGTTATCAAGGCAGGAAGTTCCTTGGAAGGAAATGCTGAAGGATGTCCTCATGATAAGAGCTGCTCCAGAGTTTTCATTGCCTAATCCCACTCCAAGCCTCTCTTTTTATTTTTTTTTAAACTCAAAGCAAATGTTGCAATAAATTTTGCCTCCCTGGCTCAAAAATTAAGCTGCTTGAGACGAAATTAAGGTGTTTAATCAAATATTTGGGCGGGTTAGGAACCAACTGTTTCAGCTTTTAAGTTCTGAGAAAGAAGTATTGCTTTTTCTTTGTATTTTCCAGTTTTTCCTCTGTGTTTTCTGGTCTTCCCTGCCTTTCTGAATTAGCCAAGATCAGGAACAAACCATGAAGGACAACAATGACATCAGGATTTCCACGGGACTACGGCTGCAGCCTCAGGTTGGCAGCAGATGAGCCAAGCAGCTTTTTGGGGATATTTTAACCCTGACACTGAGACCAAGGGGCCCCCCTTTTGTTATCAAATATGATTTTGATTATCTTAAACTTTTAATGTTTAACCTGATGGAGAATAGGGGGGAAAAGGGGATTTTTAAGCCCACACCATGTAATTCCTGCAGTTGCTTCAATCACTCTGCTTCTCCATCCCTGCCTGGGGGTGACTGACATCCCAACTCTTTTTAAGACAGACCTAATTTCCCTGATTTTCCACATCTGGACGAGCGTTATCCCTTCCCTATCTCATTTTTTTTTGAAGATATGAGAGCCTAGGGAAGGTTTAGGACACGCAGAGGGGATGGGAAACTTCAAAACCAAGAGGCCTTTGATCGGTTTGTGCCCCTGCTGGGATTGTTGCCATAAAAACTCTGATTTCCTGGAAGCTCCTAAGGAGATTAAACTGGCTTCCTCCTCATCTGGGCTCAGGGCAGTGTTTACCAACAGCAGATTAAATTGGCTTGCAGGGGCACCATCCCTCTGCTGGAAGGAAAAGCATCCCCAGCTCAGAGCAGGAATAACCCCAAATCCCAGGTTAAAATTCCTCCCGTCCATCCCGAGCAGATGGTGAAAAGGGAAATCTGATTTAAGCTGGAAAAGCTCCCCTGGAACAATGTTTATGGTACACTCAGCCCTGTTGCCATGGCGATGGAACAACTATTCCCTGCAAACAGGCGCGGAGACCCTAAAAATAAACAGCCCGACCGAAATCACGCACCGGGAGCGCGTTTGGTGGGAATGGGATGAGGAGAGAAATGTTTAATTAATAATCACTGGAGCCTCCAAAGCAAATCCCTGCCTTCCTCAGGAGCTGCTCCTTAAAATCCTGGCTGTTGTCCAGCCCTGCTGGCACGGGGGGGTTGTTGGGGCTGGAGGTGGCACACAGGTAATGTGTGTGTGTACCAAAGAAAAAGCAGGATTTGCAGGATTTGCATACTTTCCCCTCCGCCTCCCCTATTGATGTGGGCAGGAATCCACCCAGTTCAGACAGGGGAGTGAGGGAGGATGAAAAAAAAATCGTAATAGTGGTGAAGAATTAAAAAAAAAACCAACAAAAAGCGGCAGCCATTGGATGCAAGCAGCCCTTGGAGCTAAATAATCAAAGCCTGGATCCAAACAACTGCTGGGCTCAACCAGCAATGCTCTGCACCCAAAAATCTCCTGGATCTCACCAAGCAATCCCTGGATCCAAACAACCTTCTGCACCCAAAAATCTCCTGGATCTCACCAGGCAATCCCTGGATCCAGAATTCCCTGAATCCCACCAAGTAACCCCTGGATCTAAACAACCTTCTGGACCCAAAAAATCTCCTGGATCCAACCAAGCCCAGGGTCCAAACAATCCTTGGACCCAAACAACCAAACCCCGGAGCCAAAAAATCTCCAGGATTCCACCAAGCAATCCTTGGATCCAAACAACTCCTGGATCCGAAAATCCCCTGAATCCCACCAACCAACCTCTGACTCCAAACAACCTCTGGACCCAACCAACCAATTCCTGGACTCAAAAAAACCCTCCCAGATCCCACCAAGCAATCCCTGGATCCAAAATTCCCTGCATCCCACCAAGTAACCCCTGGATCCAAACAATCTCCTGGACCCAAAAATCTCCTGGATCCAAACAATCTTCTGGACCCAAAAATCTCCTGGATCTCACCAGGCAATTCCTGGATCCAAACAACCTTCTACACCCAAAAATCTCCTGGATTCAACCAAGCCCAGGGTCCAAACAATCCTTGGACCCAAACAATCAAACCCCGGACCCAAAAACCCTCCCAGACCGCACCAAGCAATCCCTGGATCCAACCAATGCCCGGAGCCAAAAATCCCCGGGATCCCAGCGGGCACCCCCAGCTCTGACACAACCGAGCGACCGAAGCCTGTGTCCAAAGCAGCCCCGGAGGGACCGAGCGCAGCCGGGGCCCGGCCTCTGTCCGCGCCCGGTGCCGGCACCGAGGGGCGGCCGGGGGCACCGCCCGCAGCCCGGCCCGCC